CAGTATTCTACTAATATTTTATGCACATGTTCTTAGGGTCTAAAATAACAGTGTACATTAAATTAGCAACTGGGATCAAATAAGAAATGGCATTCATGACAATGGAACCATTCTAAGGTTGCAAGGGTGGTTTAAAAAAAACCTTCAGAAAGAAGACAATGTACCAAAAAGAGAAGACATTTGACTAGGTCCAGAATAAATGACCAAGATTTCAATAAGGACTGAAAGAGAAAAGACATTTCAAATCGAGAGTATTCGACACAGAACAAGAACAAAGAAATTCACTTGCAGGGAGGTTGAGTGTGTGCTGTAACTGACAATAGCCATATGAAAATATATGTGCCTATCAGGGAGTTGGCAATGTGAGGAAGGCATTACCTATTTCTAATCAAAGCTGTGGTTATGTATTACAACTTAATAGGAGACAGAAGAGACTGCTGTATGCTCAGTGACACAGTGACCAAACACATGTGGAGGAACTCACTATGTTGTTCCACGTGGCATCTGCTAAGTACCACTGAATCCCTGCTCAGTGTGCTTTAATTTGGCTCCTGGAACAGCACTTTCTGCATTGTTCACCCTTCCTTACAGTCTTCCTCACTGCCTTCCTCTTATTTCCCACCAAGCTGTGCCACAGATCAGTCCTCAGAACTCTTCTTTCCAAACTGTCACTCTGGAAAACCTCATTAACACTCAGGAATACTATTATTTTTGCTAACTATCAAATATGTACTATAGCCCAGATGCTTCTTTTCAACCTCAAAATTCTTTTGGCTATATAAGAGATGAGATGTCTTCTTTCCCCTCCTCTTTTTTTTTTTCTTTTTTTGTGTGTGTGGGTGTGGATGTGTTCCCATTCGTTTCCCTGTCCCTTCATCCACCCTCTGCCCTTGCAGCACACCCCACCCCATAAAATTTAAGAGACAAAAGAAAAAAGAAAAAAAAGGGAGGGGAATCTCATCATGGAAGCTGTACTATGACACAGTGAGTCACACAGTAAACCCTTTTGTCCATATACCTTTACTTATAAGTGTTCTTTGCAGAGAGTCATTGGTCTGGTTTAAGGCCTCTAGTTTCTACTACACTGTCAATGCTGGGCCCTAACTGGAACTCCTCTTGGTTATCTTGCTGTAGCCTTGTCTGCAGGACGGGTCCCTTCATGTGCTCCAGCAGATCACAGATGGGGTGGGCCAACTCATAAGCCTGGTTCTGGACCTGGGTAGTTGCAGGGATGGTCAGCCTGCCAGCTCTCCCTTGTTCTCACCACCAGGGGGAGCTCTCCTGAGTTGTCCTGGTTGAGTTCACTCTTTGCAGAGATGAGCAAGGGGCGGGGCCAGTTCTCCTGCTTTCATGTCCTCAGGGTTGGATCTCCCACACCTACACTTTCAGGGTCAGCTTTACCATGGTGCCCAGGTATGGTGCAGGGTCACTTTCCCTAGTGCTGCCTGCAGTTGATGAGGGGTAGGGCCAGCTCTCCCACCTGCTAAAGTATAATTATACCTGTGGGTGGGGGGAATCTCTCCCCTGCCCATGGTGTCACATGACATATGTGTAATGGGGACAGCTCTCTCATGCTCACAACTTCGGGGCTGGCTCACCCACACTTCCACCAACAGGATTGGCTCTACTGTGCTGCACAGGCGAGGTGCAGAGCCTGCTCTCCCAAATGTTGCAGCTGGTGAGGGTAGGGACAGCTTTCTTGCCCTTCTGACCTCAGAGCCAGCTCTCCCACCCACCTCAGGTGTTTATCAGTGGGGTGAGGGTAGGGGACTAAGAAATGACTTAAACAAAACAAAGCCAATTAAACTCAGTTTCTCCTCCAAAATCTGCTGAGTCTTTTCTCCCTCTGTAAATGGTAACTCCACTTTACCAAATGTACAGGCCATGGGCTTCCAGGTATGTGAGCCCTCCTTTTCTTTTACACTGCACTTGCAATCAGCCTATAAATCCTGTCACTTCTACTTGGAAGGACAGCCAGTTCATCATCATCTCAACTCTACTAGGAGTCTTTAAACTACAGCCTACAGACCCTCAAAGAATGTTCTATGGAAAAGCAACTGCTCTAGCTCATTTACATATTGTCAGCATGCACATGAGTAGCTTTGAAAGAGGTTACATGACATGCTGTAGTGGTTTCAATAGGTATGGCCCCTATAGATTCATGCTTTTGAATGCCTGACCCACAGGGAGTGGCACTAATAGAAGGTGTAGTCTTGTTGGAGTAGGTGTGGCCTTGTTAGGGCAAGTGTATCACTGTGAAGCCAGGCTTTGAGATCTCATATATGCTCAAGCCATGCTCAGCATGACAGTTCATTTCCTGTTGCCGGAAGACAAAGATGTAGAACTCTCAGCTCCTTCTCCAGCAGGATGTCTACCTGCACGCTGCCATGTCTCCTGCCATGACAATAATGGACTAAACCTTTGAAACTATAGGCCAGTCCCAATTAAATGTTTTCCTTTATAAGAGTAGCAGGGGGTCATGGTGTCCCTTCACAGAAATAAAACCCTAACTAAGACACATGCAAAACCTAAAATAATTTACTATCTAAACCTTTGCAAAAAAAGTATTGTTTGGATAATACTACAATAATTATCATTATCCCTGCTTATGACTCTGCTTCCTTCCATGTATTCTTCACAAAGCAGTCACTGTTGGTCATTACCTAAATGATGCTATTTAAATTTAAATTGTACTGAGTTAAAGATCTTTAGATCTTTAGATTCATTAATTACATTTCCAGTGAACCATAAAGGCATTTGTGGCTGCCTTATTGGCCATGGTTGATTTTAGAATATTTCTATCATCATAGAAAGTTCTGTCATCTAGCACTGCTTTAAAACCTATCAGGCCATATCCCTCTACTTCTCTAAACCCTCTAAAGGTTTCTATTTTAATTCAATGTCCAATTCTTTGTTGTGGCCTACTATATGGCCATTCTCCATGCCCACTTCCAACCACTGCTCTGACCTCACCTCCTTTTTCTTCACTTACTGGCCTGTTCTCACCAGTTCCTCACAGTTTCTCAAAATACAAAGCATGTGATTCCTTAAGGCACATTACACTTGTTACCTCTTTCTAGAATATCTGTCTAGAAATACCTTCTTAAATCCTTCTTTTATTTCCTTTGAATTCTGTTTATTTCTACCTCCAGAGATCCTTTTATTAGTTCATTGGTCCACTTCACCTATATTAATGATATTTTTTATTATTAACTATATTTTGTGGTGTACTAGTAAAACGAGAGATAATGGTATTGATAGTATATGTGTTTCTCCATAGAGCATAAGTTCTAAAAGCACAGGAGTTTTGTGTGTGTTGTTTACTGGCAAAACCCCCAAACCAGAATACTATCATGTACACAGGAAGTATTCACAAATGTTTGCCAAATGAGAAACATGAATGAATAGATGAATAAGAAGGCCCTACAAGGGATGCCAGAAGAAGTAAGATGTAAGTTTTCCCTTGAAATTTGTCTCACTGATCCAGCTGCCAAACATAGATTGAAAGTTTTCTTCCACCAAAGCTTGGACTGATGGAGATCTCTTTTCAGTTAACTTTGGAATTGGGAAGGTAAGGGGCAGGTTCTCAACTATTCCACTGACATCATCTATACCTTGAGCTATCTGATAAGAAAGGTGTGAGTGTTTTGGAACACTTGTGTGGGAAAATGAGACCTGACTAGCAACTCAATGCTTAAACCTGATAGCAGACAAGGAAACTCAAATCTCAACCCACTAGCCTAGGCTCAGTTATGAATCTATCATCATTAAAATTTCTAACAATCATTTTTGACTCAGATAATTTATATGGCTATGATGATCAATCTTATCTAAGATTCTTTCTCTTTATGTAACTCAAGGTTTCACTCAGCTTAGAGAATGTCATCATGGGGGAAAACTATTTAGAAAATGAAGATGATAGTCTCTGTGGAGTATAAGAGGTATAATTATACTTTCTGACCTCTTCTTGAGAAGAAGTTACTAGCACTGTTGTTTGGAATGATGTTCCTTGGCTTCTCTAACAATTCTATGGAAGAATGAATGAAGTACATGCACAGAAAGAGGAGTGAGATCAATGGGTCAAGGGCCAGCAGGAACTGGCTCATGTCAGCTAACACATAAACCACTGCAAGGAACATCACAGGAGTTCTTCTCCAACTCTTTTCCTTTCTTTTCTTCCCTTCACAGTACTTGCTTTGGCCAAGAACCTCAAAACAGCTACTTTAGCAAGCAACAAAGTAGTACAAATATATTCATTCACTTTACAGCTTTCATCTAGCAAATCTGTAGCATATGAGTTCAAAAGTGGGTAAATAATTACGATTAGTAATGTAAACAGAAATAACATTTAACTTAAAAAAAACACCATAAATAAAGGAATTATAATTTTCTGAAGCACATAAATAAAAGCAAATCTGTGAGATGCTTACTGACCTAGAAAAGATTAAGAACATTTGAAATAAGACATGCAGAAGATTTCAGACTCACACCAATTTTCTTTTTCTTGTCCCTGATACTATCTATAACCACATGACAACAATCCAGTTCGAAGAGCTAAATTTATGTACTAAGGACATAACTCAAGGGCCTGCTCATTTAAAACTGTAGCACTTTAGGGCAGTTTGGAGTGATGACGCTATGAACCACTTTGCATTTTGAATGGTGGTAAAAGTTTACATTGATTTTCACAGAAGACACTTAAATACTTGAGTAAAAATTAATGGTGACCTTTAAAATGCCTGGAATCCAAGCTGAAGTATTGAACGGTTATCTCTTTGACTCCCTGTATCAGTTGCATGACACCCAAGGTCTGTGGGTTCAACAGTTTCCAAACTGATTACAGAGAAGCACCCTAGTCACCAGTACAGCTTAGCAGCATCCTCTTGAAGCATCCCATAGAAAGGATCCATTGCTGTGCCCCAAGTTTGCAGAATCTCCATTTTTTTTTAATGGAAAAACTGAACTGCTTTCTCCTTTTAAAAAGACTCAGGGATCTTCCCAGAAGTCCAGATAATTGCAAAGGTGATAAGAATGTACCCTTGAGCAGGAGCCATGCTAATCTGCTCTGTATCATGCCGATTTTTATGATATACTCTACTGAAGTGAGAGAGAAGAATACATACTTTAAATAAATAAAATTATAAGATCATATAACCTAAAAAAAATGTACCCTTGGACAAAGCAGCTGAATGTACATGAGAAACTGGTTTACTTTATTTCATGTCTCACACTCTTACTATCAATAGATTTCCAATACTTCACTGCAACGAAAGAATAATTTTGAGACATTTTAGCCCCAAATTAAGTAAGTCTTAACAAGAAACAATACATTTTGGCTCTTCAGTTTTAACCTCCTCATCTACGTCCCAGAATTTACATGCATTTGCAAACTACATCCCATATAGAAATTCCTCTGTGTCTTATTTAAAGTCACAGTATTCAAACTCAACTGACTTGGGGGATGTGAGAGTCTCAAATTTTACCCTATCTGCAAGTAATTAATAAAAATTATCATACCACAGTCTCACAAATGCTGGCAGAATTAAAGTAGCAAACAAAGGAACCAAAAGGAAGTTCCTGGTTGGAGATCAGGGACATATCACCACCCTTGGCGGTAGTCATCGCCAGCATTATGGTTCCTGTGCACTGGTTCTTTGAAGCTGCAAGATGAGCTTCTGGTTGTACACACACTGGCCAGTACTGGAAAAGGGGAGATTGAGATTTGAAAAAGCTACATTTTTTATCAGGGATCATGGGTGTCAAAAGCAAGTCAGTTCTATCCACCTCTGTACCGGCAGGAAAATAATTATTTTTTATGTTAGATAGTAGGTGATTCATTTTTTTCTTTCAAGACCTTTTAAAAAAATAGAATTATCCTTGTGAAAATAGTCCTTGATAAAAGCACACTAATAAGTCAAGAAGGAAACCAAGAAAAACATGAAGATTTTTCTCTGAACTCTTGATCTTTGATATCTACCCAGCAATGACATCTAAAAGAGATACCTAACTTACTAGGAGGTCATGGAAATTCCTAATGCCTGTGATTGACTACAAAAGTTCATACTATATCTATGTTTTACAATAAAAAATATGGCATGGCCTACATCACACTCGATCAACTCTGTCTTTTAAAATGCTTAGTAACGCTATTAGGAAGGGGAACATGACCCCTTGATATACCACATCTGCCATATCACATTGCCTATGCATTAAAAGAGTTTCTCTACCATATTAATGGTTCCAATTATCAGTTTTGATTCTTAGTTTTTCCCCTATAGATCCTATGAAAGCTCAAAATAGATAGTATTCCAAAAACATGTTTGATGATTTTTTCGATGTATTTTTCATAATAATAAGCTCCTATGAGTATGGAAAAGAGTATATTGCAATGAGACACTACTGCTGATAAATGTGCAAAGCACTGTTTTTCTTAGTATTAATGAAAAAATGGAAATGAAGGTCTATGCTTTCCCATCTTCACTGAAAAGCCATTAATTTAGTGACAGAGAGAACGAGTTTTCGAAATTTCAAGTTCTCTTTCCCCTTAATTGGACACAGATAGGAAATGCAAAAGCAGGTCCACCAGAAATGAAAGAAATAGAACCAAAGTTCCACCTCAGTATCATACCACAATCCTGCATTGACTTTAGGAAAGTGCTAAGAAGTTCTATTTTAAATCAAAAGATAATTCTTAAATTATCAGATTACACCTGGGTCAGAATAACAATAATAATAATAACATTATTTTCATGATGTCATGTGAACACTGACAGACAAGCCAGTCTGAAATTATGCATTATTCCTTTGCTAGAATGTTTATTTCCTACATTGGTCTTGTATTCTGTTTACCAACAATGAGATTATTACTATTTGCAAAACCCAACAGAGGACTGCAATATGTATCATCAACAATGTAAGCACAAATATCATTCTGACTCCAACAGTACTTTTACTGGGATATTTAAAAAAGAAGAAAGCAAAACAGGAGTAGAAAAGCCAGTATATTCCTAAGAGTAGTAGTGACATACTATTGTAAAATCCAGTGTTTAACTTAATTGTGGGAGTAGAGTCATTCAAGTCACTTAGGGAAAAACTATTCTATTCTAGGCACTGAGTCAGGGACTAGTGATAAAAAAAAGATAAACAAAACAAAACAAAACAAAAAATCAGGCTTTGCTCCAATCGGTCATCAGTCCACCACGGTGATGGTAAGGGACATAGTAGACAATCATACCTAATTAGTCACAATACTAGAGGCTAAGAATCTACTAATTCTCAGCTCCTTTGCATGCTTGTATCCATCTATTCACCCACCCATTCATTCATGTACCCATCTACCCATCATCCACTAATCCATCCTGCTATCTATGCCCCTGCCTGTCATCCATCCATCCATTCACTCATCCATCCATTTTCTGGGCAGCCATCAGTTTCTAGAAAGCACTATACTTGACAGGGTTGCAGAACAGAATGCTAAACAAAACATTTCTAATGTTTATGGAACTTTGGCACACTACTTTTAAAACAATCATTACATCTTGGAAAGGGGATGTGTTGTTCTAATTCAATTAAATCAGAAATCGCATCCACTTCAAAGAAATCCTGTTGTACTTGTTCTTTGTACTTGTCAATATGTCCTATTAAAATGATTTATATTGATTTCTTTGTTCTTACAATGCTAGGCCTTAAATCATGCCTACAATAAAGGAGAGAAGCTGATGAACAAGTTATGTTGAACACCGCAACTGAGTCTGTAAGTGAAGAGCTGAAGGCTGAAGACAGACTGAATGACAACCAAAGTCAGACAATCCAAATCTACAGCTTTCTGGAAGATAAACTACTTTTAGCATAAAATGTCTTCTTGCCTTTTGGTTTCTTTACCTTTAAATCTATATGAATTATCTACTAACACATTATTCTTAAAATGTCCAATACATATCATAGTTTAACATGAAAATCTTCAAGATTCCAAGGGGACTGGTGGATGAATCCATAGTGCTATAGTAAAGGTCTCATATAGTAATATGTTAAACCCAATCCTCCTGAGAATTCACTTTCTCTGATGGAGCTAGTTTACTCATAGATACGGACATACATGTTCTCATAAGTTTTCTCACCATTAGCTTTCTTGGGGGAACTTTTTTTTTCAGCTAATACTCACTAAACATTAATAATATGCTACATGCCTATCTAACCCTCACTACTCTTCTACAGAGACTAAATTGACATTGCTTCAATTTTATAGTTGGAGTCTTTGGTAACATGACTAGTGATGGGACAGCTGATACCTGACTTGAGATACATACTTCTGGGATCCAAACTCTTAGCCATGCTAGAACAAGAAAGGTTATCTGGTGGTGACTCTAGAGCTTACTCAGTGTTGCCTAGACATATTGGCTGGGCCAAGAGAACAACTTCCTTCCCTATCAACTATCACCAGAAGCAATGACTTCTTCTTTGCAAAGGGGGAAAACAATTTCCCACTGTTTGGAGGTGTCTAGATACTTGACAGCTGACATTCCCAGATACTTTCTGTAGGCAGCTAGGACCTAGAGATAGTGATTCTTTCTCAATCTTGTCCTATGATAGGTAAGAAATGCAAAGGAATTCGTGTCTATGTGATGGGTTCAGGAGAGTCTAAGCCCAGCGCATCTCTATGTGTGATGACATGAGAATTAGGGGAAAAATGCTTTCTCTTTCCTTGCAAACTTATTCTTATATTTTTCCTCTCACTAGCATTACCTATTTCTTAATTCCTTCTGGTAAGAAGAATTAAAAAAAAGTATAATTGCTTTTATTGTTAGTATTTGGTGAATGGAGACATTGATGGATACCAATACATACAATACTCCAGTGCCATTCAGCATGAATCTTACATTCTTATACAAAATTAAGCTAAAGTATCATTCTCTCTGTGAAGGAATTCCTGATTCTCTTTAGTGAAGGGGTCCCTAGTCTACGAATAAAGTAAACCACTATAATATATTCTATTCTTTTATTAAAGTATTGTTTACACAGACATATATTGTAATTCCACTGAAATTGTAATTTCCTCTAGGTAAATAACATAACCATGTAGTAAAGGCCATTACCATGTAGTAAACAGATGTCACCATATACAAAATAGGCACTTGAAATCTCACAAGTCCCTGGGTGTGTATGTCTACCCACTAAAAATTTATTAACAATAAACATATCAAGAACTTTCTTGGGCACAAAATATTGCTTTGCCACAAGATGCTCCCAAACTCTCAATAGGAAGAATTGCTGTGGAATAATCCTTCTGTATACTGTGAAGATGTGTTGCTCTCATTGTTAATAAAAAGCTGATTGGCCAATGGCTAGGCAGAATTTTGGGGGCAGGAAGAATGCTGGGAAAATAAAGGGTGGAGTCAGAAGAGTAGAGAGCCAGATATGGAAGAAGAGATATGAGAAGCTTGCAGATGAGGTAAATAAGCCTCAGGGCAGCACTATATATTAACAGAAATGGGTTAATTTAAGTTGTAAGAGCTGGCTGGAGACAAGCCTAAGCTATCAGCCAAGCATTTATAGTTAATAATAAGTCTCTGTGTGGTTATTTGGGAACTGGCTGATAGGAAAGAAAAGTCTACCTACAATGAATATATAAATAATATATTCTGATAAGATTATGCACAATGAAACACAGTGAAAATCACAGGAGACTTCACAAGTAGGTGAGACACACTCAGACAAACATATACACACAGTGAGACAAAGGGAGACAAGCATAGAGACAGACAGAGAGGAAGGGAGGGAGATGGGGAGGGAGAGAGGGAGGGAGGAAGGAAGAGGGGGAGGGGGAAAGAGTGAGAGAGACACTAGAAAAACTATGAATCAACATTTAATGTGGCCTTAATGAGGCAGACTAGAAAGAGGGGCTTTCACCAGGCAGTGGTGGTGCACACCTTTAATCCCAGGACTCAGGAGGCAGAGGCAGTAAGATCTCTGTGAGTTCAAGGTCAGTCTAGTCTACAGAGCAAGTTCCAGTACAGCCAGAGCTGTTATACAGAGAAACCCTGTCTTGAAAAAAGAAGGAAAGAAAGGAAGGAAGAAAGGAAGGAAGGAAGGAAGGAAGGAAGGAAGGAAGGA